GGAATGGTTTTGCGTGGGCGTTAATGCTACAGGGATGGAATGGTTTAGGGTGGGAGTTAATGTTACAGGGATGAATGGGTTAGCGTGGGCGTTAATGCTACAGGGATGGAATGGTTTAGCGTGGGCGTTAATGCTAAAGGGATGAATGGTTTAGCGTGGGCGTTAATGCTACAGGGATGAATGGTTTAGCGTGGGCTGTAGAGCACATGGATGGAATAGTTCAATACTACGGGCTATAGTGTCAAGGGGATGGAATAGTTTAGCATGGGCTGTAAGACTACAGGAAAGGAATAGTTTAGCATGGGCTGTAGCGCTACGGAGATGGAATAGTTTAGCATGGGCTGTAGTGCTGCAGAGATGGAATGGTGTAGCATAGGCTGTAGTGGTACAGATATAGAATGTTTTAGCATGGGCTGTAGTGGTACATAGATGGAATGGTTTAGCATAGGATGTAGTGGTACAGAGATGGAATAGTTTAGCATGTTTAATTTCAGATTGTATTATTATATACTGCCATGTAAATGACGTCACTATTATTTAATGTCATGTAAATGACGTCACTATTATATACTGCCATGTAAATGACGTCACTATTATATACTGCCATGTAAATGACGTCACTATTATATACTGTCATGTAAATGGCGTCATTAATATATACTGCAGGTAATGAGGTGTTGTTCTATATGCAAACGTAAGTGACGTCTTTGTGAATTTTCCGGTAAATGACATCACGCAATGCACTACTTGGTCCCTGGCATCAGGTGATCTACTACCAGGTAAACGGCATCATGTGATGTCCTTCTGGGAACTCTCCACTTATGAAGTGCCCTTTCTACAGGTCGTCTGCTCTGAACAAGCGCGAGATGACCAGCTCAGAGAAGACACAGTTCATCATCCAGTGGCTGAAGGAAGTCGAGTCAAGTAAAAGGAATCGTCTGCCCAACCAACACTTCCGATCTGGGCAGGTCAGGTGAACAAAGAGATCAAAACTGTTTGGACTTTCAAGAAATGTGTCTGGTGTGTGTCAGAGTATTTGTCTTCTGGATAATGTCAGGTTTATGGCTGGAAAATATCAGGTTTATGGCTGAAAAATGTCAGCTATTTGCCTGATACTTGAAATAAAACTAACCAAACCCTTTCAGAATATGTCATGTAGTTTGTATTTTGTGAACATCAAATGGTAGTTGAATGTTAAGACAGGCTAAATCTTAAGTACCTGACCTACTGAACATTGGGGTAAATAACGGAAATACTGCTCATTTTGGGTGAAAACCTACGAAACATTGGGGCTAATACCTGAGGCCTACAACTTGGGGTAAATACCTGACCTACTAAACATTGCGATATATAAATGACCTACAAAACATTCGGGTAAATACCTGACCTACTAAAATTTAGGTAAAAACATGACTTACTAAACTTTGGGGTTAATACCTGACCTACTAAACATTGGGGTAAATACCTGACCTACCAAATATTTTGGATACATACCTGACCTACTAAACTTTCGGGTAAATCTTGATCTTGACAACCTACGTCTGAAGCTATTAGTCAAGTAGATTTGAGTACGCAAGTCTGAAGCTATTAGTCAAGTAGATCTTGAGTACGCAAGTCTGAAGCTATTAGTTAAGTAGATCTTGAGTAATCAAGTCTGAAGCTATTAGACAAGTAGAATCGTTAGTACTCAAGCCTGAAGCTATTAGTCAAGTAGATCTTGAGTAATCAAGTCTGAAGCTATTAGTCTAGTAGATTTTGAGTACTTAAGTCTGAAGCTATTAGTCAAGTAGATCTTGAGCACGCAATAAGTCTGAAACTATAAGTCTAGTAGAGACAGAAAAACTAAGGTAAAAATACATAAGAGATACACATTTATTCAATAATGTATTTTTATTTTATTTACATACACCACATTCTACTGATCGAATTGAGACATTCGTGTTTAATTATGTCTTGGCCTACGGTTTAGTAATGTTACTAGCTGAAAAGAAAAACGATTGAAGTATTCAACCAATCCTGTCTGAATACCTGTAGACTTTGAAGACATCACTGAATGAAGATGTACAGCTACATTTATATATATATATATATATATATATATATATATATATATATATATATATATATATATATATATATATATAATATATTATACATGATTTATGCATTATTGAGAAGATGTCATTATTGAGAGAGACTAAAATGAACTATTGTTGGTACATCATAAAATGTGACGTCAGTTGTACAATGCAATAAAAGTTGAGAGGAAATACAACTGAGCTGTGACAGGTGAGAAGTGGATTTACCAAACAAAGAAACGTCTATTTAACATTACACGTTACTTCATGTTAGGATTCTAAATAACTTGTTTTCAATTTAAACATATTATATCTAATATTATTTTATAATAGTTCCAAAATTGAATCCATTGCATATTGCAAAGATCGAACTACAATAGACGGACAAAAGTTATTTGTACAATAGCAACCAGCCGACACACACGCCAACAGACAACACACACGCCAACAGACGACACACACGCCAACAGAAGCACTAAAACATATCCTCAGCAGACGCACCAACAGACGCACCAAGAGGCGAACCAACAGACGCACCAAGAGACGCATCAACAGACGAACCAACATACGTAGAGTCCTTCACACCAAACGACACATTGGTTAAGTGCAAAACACGGATGTACATGATATCTTTGAAACAAAATATGGCACATTGTATTCACGGGTGGCCGACCAGATTATCTGGACGCTCCAACAATCAAATCAACAGACAGAGCTGCAAATACACATGTATGATGCATCTGTAAACACACCAACAAACACACCAACAAACACACCAACAAACACACCAACAAACACACCAACAAACACACCAACAAACACACCAACAAACACACCAACAAACACACCAACAAACACACCAACAAACACACCAACAAACACACCAACACACGCTCCAGCATACGTACCTACATACGCACTGTCCTTGGTATCAAACGATACATTAAGTGGAAAAAATATGGATGTACATGATATCTTTGTAACACAATATGGCACATTGTAGTCACGGCTGGCCGACCAGGTTATCTGGTGGCTCCAACAATCACATCAATGGAAACATCAGCAGATACACCAGCAAACACACCAGCAGACCACCAACAGACACACCAACAAACACACCAGCAGACCACCAACAGACACACCAGTAGACCACCAGAAAACACACCAGCAAACCACCAAAAGACACACCAGCAGATGCATCTGTGAACATACCAACTGAAACACCATCAGACACACCATCAGGCACACCATCAGACACACCATAAGACACACCATCAGACACACCAGCGAACGCTCCAGT